AGTCAAGTTCCCTCTCTTCAACCCACACCCTATCTCCAGAATGACGTCTCTAAAATGAAAAATGGATGATGTCACTCCATGAATCCTTTCATGGAACCCCACTGCCAGCAAGACAAAAACTAAGCATCTTTAAATAACACAATATATAAAGGCTCTCCATGATCTAAACTTGTCTAGGATTCCAGTCTAATCATTCACTACTCCATACCTTATAATTTATGTTTCAGCAATCCTGGACTATCTACATTTCCCGAAACATCCTAATGCAGTGAGTTCCTCTATTCCTACTCATCTTTGACTACTACACCCTCCTGACTCCACCATCTACGTCCTAACCTCTGTAAATCCCATTAAAGCCAGGATTTCTTAACCTTGGCATTACTGACATTAACAGCAGGATAATTCTGTTGTGGGAGCTGTCCCTGTTCATTGTAAGATGCTTAGCAGCATCCCTGGCCTCCATTCACTAGATGCCAGTAGCATTATCACTAGCTGCGACAAACAAAAATGTCTCTAGACATTGCCAAATGTTCCCTGGGGAAGAAAATAGGCCCAAGTTAAGAACCTTTCATGTTAAAACTTAGTTTCTCATATATTCATGAAATATCTCAGGAAGAATATATAAAAACTAGTTTTAACACTTGTTGCCTTTGAGGAGGGTAACAGGGTAACTGAGGTAACTAGACTGAGATAAAAAAAAAAAAAAAAGCTTGTTTTTCGCTACATTCACTGTGTGTGTACTAAAGTCTTGTACCTCTTCTAACCTCTCCACTGCTACCACCCTAGTCTGAGCCACCTTTCTCTTTTTTCCTAACTACTGCAATGGCCCCTTTCCTTCTTCAGTCCATTTTTACCAGTAGCCAGAGTGATCCTTTCAAAACTGAAATCAGATCATGTCACTTATTTGCTCAAACCTGCCACTGTCTTCCTAAACTCACTCAGAGAGAACGCCAAAACCTTAAAATGATATTCCTACAATCTGCCATCCTACTCCCTTGCTTTCTGATCTCTCCTCCTAGTAGCAATTTCATAGATTGAATCTAATACTGTTTCCATCACTGCATTAACATCTAATATTATTTTAATTATTAATCTTGTTTATTGTCTCTTTGCCATCTTGACTAGTGTTTCTCAAACTGGTGTCTGCACCAGAATCTTGTGGAAGGCTAGTTAAAACAGTTTGCAAATCAAGAGATCTAGAGCTGAGTCTAAAAATTTGCATTTCTAACAAGCTCCCAGATAAGTTCCCTGCTGATGCTGCAAATCTAGTAACCGCATGTTTAGAACCAATGTTTCAGAATGTAAGCTCCATGAAGGCAGAGACTTCTATCTATTAACTGTTTAATCTCTAGGACCTGGCACACAGTAGGCACTTGCTATGTACGGTTTGAATGTTTATCCCCTCCAAAACTCATGTTGCAATTTAATCCCCAATGTAGCAGTACTGAGAGTTGGGTCTTTTAAGAGGTGACTGGGTCATGAGGGCTCTGCCCCCACAAATGGATTAATCCCTTCATTTAATCCATTTGTGGATTAATCCATTCAATTAACCCATTCATAGACTAATGGGTTATCACAGGAAAGGGACTGGTGGCTTTATAAGAGGAGAGAGAGGTGAGCAAGCACATTCAGCCCCCTCGCCATATGATACCCTGTGCCACCTCAGGACTCTGCAGGGAGTCCCTACCAATAAGGAGGCATCTACCAGATGCCATTCCTTGGCCTTGGACTTTCCATCCTTCATAACTGTAAAAAAGAAATTATTTTTCTTTATAAATCACCCAGTTTCAGGTATTGTTATAAGCAACAGAAAATGAACTAAGGCAACACTGATCTATGTAAATAAATTTAGATGTCCCCTCCTCTGTTCCAAATGTATCCAATGGTTCAGTCTGTCACATGTTGCTAAACATTTACTGAACACTGTAAAAAGATAAACTGTGTAACTGTTAGAGGTTAAATTATATCACCAAAAAAGATATGTTTAAGTCCTAACCCCAGTACTAACGCATAGGACCTTATTCGGAAATAGGGTCTTTGCGGAGATGATTAGGGTAGACCTCGATCCAGTACAACTGCTGTCCTTTTAAGAAGAGGAGAGCACCACATGAAGACAGCCACACAGGGAGATTGCCATGTGATAACAGGGGCAGAGACTGGAGTGATACAGCTGCAAGCCAAAAAACTAAGGACAAAGAAGCTAAGAGGTATGGAAGAGATTCTTCCCTAGAAACTTGACAGAGCATAGCCCTACTGACATCTTGATTTCAGACATCTAGCCTCCAGAACTGAGACAATAAATTTCTATTGTTTTAAATGGCCTACTTTGTGATACTTCCTTATGGCAGCCCTAGGAAACATGATGGCCCAAAATGCAAATGACCACATCAACCTGTATTTAATTTCAAATTCTGCCAATTACCCAACTTTCACCAGTTTAAATATGCATTACTATACAGCTTTCACTATACATCAATCAGGTTTCCTGTTCCAGAATCTCCCCAACTTTGCCTCTCCTTGCCCTCAATGTGTCCCTTCAATGTACAAAGCAGCACATATTACAGGTGCTAGATAATTTATTTGGATTTTTGTTTGTTTTCCCCACCTTCTTATGGGCCTCCCTAGCTCACAAATACCAGCATCTTTATATATTTTTTCTCTCCTCTTTCACACATTACAGATTTTGGCATGTATTTTCCCCTTTGACATTTGAATTAGGTGCAAAATAAAACTTTAAGTATACACTGAGGTTCCTCTCCAACCAGAATTTAAGATAAAAGGCTAACTTCCCATTTTATGGAACTAGTCTTTTTTTTTTTCTTTTTTTGCATTCTTCTTTTAAAAGAATTACCTTACCTACTGAATTGGGGGTAAAGAGAATTTTATCTTACCTTTCTTTGAACCTTGCTGTAGTCTGTACACCAGCCTCTTTAATACAATCTCAACAAATCTTTTACGTGAAAAGATGGTTATACTGGGAAGCTAGCTTAAACTTTTAAGTAGATCTGAACTGAATTTCAGCACCAAGCTGTCCATTTTCTATTTAAGGTTTATTATAGCTGCACTGTCACAAAAATTCCAATCAATGATTTTACCACATAAAGACTCTAGCTTACCATGGTTTATAAAGCTAAGCTGTATAATACAATTTTTATTTTAGTACAAATCAATATACAAATAGTAGATAGCACATGCCTAGTGACACTTTTATTTCTATGATTAGATAAACATTAATTTATTATACATACTCCTAAATAAATTTGTGATAGGATTCTAAGAATTTCTGGATGTTGAATTTACTCAAAAAGCATAATTAAGAAAAACTTTAAAAGGGTAGTAACCATAAAATGTTTTTTAAATGCTAAATCACAAGTAAAAAGATACAGAAAAACATGAATTCTGGGCACATTTGAGAAAGACATTCAACAGTTCTTCACTAATACTGAAAAACCATCTCTTTTTCCTGTGAATAATTTTAAATGAATCATATCTTCCTTACTATATCACTGCTTTATTTAACATATGGTGAAAAGAGTTAACTGTTTGGTAACTTGAAATTTTATAGTCACTGAAACTGTATATAAATATATTCTAAGGCTGACAGAAAATACAGTTTACTATAATATATACAATACTTACAAGACACACACAGTACCATGTACACAGGACTCATTCGTCATTTATCTTATAAGGGAGTGGAAAGCTGTCATCTAAATACCTTCTAAAAACTCAGATTCCCACTTCCTAAATTTACACCAGAATTAAACTTGAAATTATGCACAACACTTCTTCCAGGCATCTAGGCAGAGCTATCTATGTTGTACGCCCAACTCTTAGTAAATTAACATATTTCTGTCCCTTACACATTGGCCTAATTATTCACTCTGATGCATTAACGTTCTAACTTTACAACTTTTTAGTTCATTATGAAATCAATACACGGTTAGCAGAAGTTTTCGATCTGAGGAAACCCTGTGATATCTACGAAGAATTTTAGAAATCTATATTAGAAATCTAGTCAACTTTTCAAGAATGTGTGGGGTTTTGTTATTTAATTTTATTTATTTTTTATTTTTTTCTTCGTGGAACTGATAGATCATATAAAGTCTGTTTTAAAATAAGGGTAGTGGAGAGGGCAAGGGCTAGGAAAAAATAATCTCCACCCTTAAATTAAGCTCATCTTTTAAAGAGTATACAGTTTTCCCAAATTCAAAGCACTATGGACAATCTGTCAGCACCTACTAATCCCATTACACTTCCCTGGGTGAGAGGGAGAGGCAAAAAAAAAAAAGAAAGAAAGAAGAAGAAATTCCTTTCCTTTTCCTCCTTCACGCAGCAAGTGCCCCAACACACACTTGGCTGGCTCACTCTGCCGGCGGCAGGGAAACTTAAAGAAATAAATCAGCCACAAACCTGATGATCCGAGCAAGCTCCAGGCACTTCTGGAAGGCGCCCGCTCGCCGGGCGCTCAGGCAGCGCGGCGGCCCGGCGGCTCTCGGGGAACGCGCTCGACACCTGAGCGCCGAGTCCCGCAGGACTCGCAGGTCTGCAGGGGGCGGGGAGGACCCGGGGACGGAGCGGGCAGCCCGGCGGGGCAGCTGCGGGGCAGGACCGCTAAGTGGTTCGGCCCAGACGCCCCGGCACAGCCCGCGCCTCGCCGCCGACGCCCGACGCCAGGCAGCGCTTGAGGAGGGGGCGGCGAGGGCAAAACGGAAGAGCCCACGCCGAGGAGAAGGCTACACGCCAACGAAATAACGGCCCGGTGGGCACCCGGCCCCGGTAGCAGCCTGCCGGGGCGCCGGGAGCAGGAAGTGCCGCGCGCCTGCCTCAGGAGCACGGACGCCCCCAGCCCGGCTCCGGCCCCCAGACACCTGTTCGCCCCCGCCTGGGGTTTGGGTCCACCCTCCACACCCCTCCCCGCCACACACCCCACGAAGGGGGAGGGCGAGGGGAGCCGAGACCTTGGACCCGCAGCCGGAGGGCGCCTCCGCCGGCCGTACCTGACATCAGCCGCGGCTCCCTCTCGCCCCTCCTGGGGGGCGGAGAGGGGGACGACACGGGACTTGCGACCTTTGCTCCTCTGGGCAGCCGCAGAAGTCGCTTGTGGCCGCTAGCTGAGGCCGCCTGCAGCCGCCCAGATCATTCCCCGGCAGCGGCGGCGGCGGCTGCCGAGGCGGGCCCAGCGCGCGCTCCCGCCCGCTGGCTCCGCCCCTCCCCACAGCGCGTCCAGGCCGCGGCCCGCCTACGGCGCAGCCGCCACCCAGGGGTCTCCTAGCGCTGACGTCGCCGCCGCCGCTCCAGCCCTCAAGGAAGGGCGGCGCGGGAGGGGGCGCGACGGGGCGGGGCTACGGCGACGTGCGGACGCGGGGATTGGGCGCCGAGCGCACGCTCCGCCCCTCTGCGATGGGGTCTGGGAAGTCGGGGCTTCCACTAGCTGTAGGTTTGGTCTCAGCCCTCTTGCGGCTAGTCTCAGCTGTCCTCTATTTCTTTCATCCTCCTGTAGGGTCATGACTAGCTTCCGGACCTTGGGGAGGAAGAAAGTAGGGAAACAGCAGGGACTCAGGCAGGGGGTGCCTGAGGGACTTTTGTCTGAAGGACAAGCTCTGGCCATGCGGGAGTCTCTTGGCCTGTAGCCTGCTCTTACCTCGTTCATTTTTTTTCCTTGTTCTCTCCCTGTACCCTCTGTAATGAGCATCTCGCTAGCATTAATGAAAGAAACCATGGAAAGTTGAGGTATGGAAACGGGCGCTGAGTAACCACATGTGTGAACCAGCAATGGCTGAAAACCCAGTTAGTGACACCAGAAAGCCTCCTGTAGGCATACATGGTGGTCGGTTCTGTCCGTACTTCAGGTCTGTCTAACAAGGCAGGAGAAGCTGCTTAAGGGCTTTGCAAAACTCACGTCCTCTTGTGTTGACTAAAGGGCCTTAAATGATGAAACTGTCTTTGCAATAGAGGGAGAGGGCTGCCACCTGTTGAGGCAACTCGACCATAGGAGGTGGGGATATGGTCTAGGACTTACTGGCTTTAACCATCTTCTACAAGGCCAAGCTCCACAATGGGAAAGCTACCTTTTAAATATCCTACTAAGGAAGTTCTTCAGTACATCATGATAGCTGTTAATGAGTATGGGCTCTGAAATCAGACTGCCTGGGCTAGAATCTTGGTCCCTCCACCTACTAGCTGTGTAACCTTGACAAGTTACTTAACAGCATGCCCGAAAGAAATAATAAGCAACATAGTTATTGTTATTTTTCCTTTAATTTGCTTAGGTTCATCTTTAGTATAGTTTCTCAGAACATACCATCAATAAATCCAAAAGAATTTTAAAACTTAAAGCACATCTAGTGATTCTAATCCAAACATCTCATTTTTCAGATGAGAAAACTGAGATCAGAAAGATAAACTCATAGGCTCATGCTAAAATAGAAGTGCAGGTATCCTGACGTCTAGATTGGTGCTCTTTCCCTGGCTCATGCATCCAGATTTCCCTCCCATATATTCTTACTTCCATCCTCTTCTCCTCCCCAACTCCTGTACAGTTACTGCCTAGCCACCTGCACCCTCCACAGCTTTCAACAATATCCTTCCACCCATTGCAAAAAGGGAAAGGATCCCATTCAGAGGTCACAGTATTCCCAGTAGAAAACAAAACTCAGAACTCTTTTATCTCATTTCAATTGTATTGAAAGTTACAATGAATAAGGAATAACATTTTTCAAGTGAGCAAAGATAAGAAACCCTTCCAAATAAGTTCAGTCACAGCCATATCTAGGAAAATTACTGGCAAGAAGATATGTTGATGGAAACAATACTGGGTCAATTTTGTGCAAATTGGAGTGCAGTGATTATTCATAGGTGCATTCATAGTGCACTATAGCCTGGAATTCCTGAGCTCAAGCAATCCAGTCCTCATGTCTCAGCTTTCTGAGTAGCTGGGAGTCTATTAATAGCTATCATTTTTATTAAAACAATGCATGCTTAGTCAAACAAATTTTAAAATATTCAAACTAAAATGCAAAGAAAATAGTTATAATTTGTCCAAATCCCACAGGGATAACCGTTTTAAAAAATTTGTGTTACGTTCTTCCAGGTATCTCTCTAAGACTAAAAAACACATAAAGACATATACATTATTCCATAAATTGGCTTTTATTATATGTAGAGTTCTTTCCTCACTGAACAATATGCCATGAATAACATAATTTTTTAAAGTTGCATAGTGTCTGTTAAGTGGATGTACCATCATTTATCTAGCCAGTATGCTACTGATTGACATTTATTTCTTTCCAAGTTTTTACTACTATAAACAACTCTTTGATGAACTTTCTTATGCTTAGAATTTTGCACGACTGTGCAATTACATCCTTGGACACATTCCTAGAAGTGATATTAACATCAGCCAATTCTTCAACATTAACCACTAGAAAAATAAAAGTGGTTACTTTGCAAAGAATATACTTCATATGTAGGAAGCAAGGCTCTTGTGGGGAGCAAGGCTCTTGCCTCCCTAAGGTTTGCTAAAAAAACACTGACAAGAGGCAGATTGATTAATAGAAGGAAGAAGATACAAATTTATTTTAATGTGTATACATGGGAACCCTCAGAATGAAGATTCAGACATAGGAAATTGTCAATTTTTATGCTTAGGTTCGACAAAGCATGGACAACCATGTAGAAATATGATTGGATAAAAAGGGTATGATCTAATGCTAGCAGGCTGAGTTGGGGAACCCAGCAAGGCCTGTCTGTCAAGATTCTTGTTGGACTTCCTAAACATTCCTTCCTTCTGATTGTGGGACATGGCCCTATGTGGAATGTAGGGGGTTCTTATGACCTATAGTCAAATAAGGTATGTCTTTATGGCCACTTTTTACATAGAATTTTAGGTTTTATGTCTGGGTTTCAGGACAAGGGGCTTTGGTTTTTATGACCCACCTTGGGGAAGAGGGATTCTAGTTTCTATGGCTAGTCTCAGGAAAGAATGAGACTGAAAGGCAGGAGGACAAGGGAAAGTCAGAGAATAATTTTTGCTTCTGAGGCTGCCATTTTGGGGTACTGTTTTCTGAGCTCCATTAAACTCAAAACCAGATTCTCACATTTGCAACATATTTGAAACAGATAAACCTTTGAAAGTATTTACTGTCTGGTGTTTCTATTGTTTAATAATATGTGTCAAAGCTCCTAGAGCAGAAAGGAAGACATTATTAGTTGTCTAAACCAATATCCTTTCTTCCTTACTACCAGAGGCTGATTTTTTTCGGGGTGATAATGTGTCCAGTTATAATAAAAATGTTCCCCTCCCCAGACTCTTGTAAGTCATGGTGGGCCTTGTGATCTGTCAATGAAATAAAAGTGAATTTCTCTAGGAGGGGCTCAAGGAAAGCTTTACAGAAGAAATATTCCTTTAACTATTGGACCTACAGCCATTCTTTTTTTATTAACCTGGAACAATAACATGATGCTGGAAGTAGAAAAGCCATATTTCAGTCATAATAACAAAACATGCATGCACATTATTAATAGTATAAGAAGCCAGAGGTGCTTGGGTTCATGAAGGTAGGCCAGCTTAGCAGCTCTCGACTGCCTACTTGTGGACTTGTTACATCAGGAAAAATAAATCCCTCCTATTGAATATTTTGTTATTTGTGTTTTCTGTTATAAGCATTGAATGCAATTCCTAGTATATAAGATAGGTCAAGTCATCACTTATTTAGCCCTATGTATGGAATTTTTTTTTTTCAAATAGCATCTTGCTTTGTCACCCTGGGTAGAGTATAGTAGCACCATCATAGCTTACTGCAACCTCAAACTCCTGGACTCAAGTGATCCTCTTGTCTTAGCTTCCCAAGTAGCTGGGTCTACAGGCATGCCACCACACCTGGCTAATTTTTCTATTTTAATAGAGACAGGGTCTCGCTCTTAATCAGGCTGGTCTCAAACTTTTGAGCTCAAGCAGTCCCTCTGCCTCACCCTCCCAGAGTGCTAGGAATACAGGCATGAGTGCCCAGCCTATATATGGAATTTTTTAATGGGTGAGATGAAAATGAGGACCAAAAATGTAAATAAACAACAACAACATAACATTCTCTTCTCTAATAGACTTAGTTTTCCTTTAAATACCGAGATATTACAAATAGATTAATAAACCATTTATTAGTAATTAAGTTAAATTTGGTAAATTAGAGTTTATTCACTCGATAGTGTTATAGTTTTAAAATATTAATATGTCTGTAAATTCTTTGATACTTCTTCCTTCAAAGGGTGGAGCTTAATTCCCCTCATCTTGAGTTTGGTCTGTGTTGTAACTTCTTCTCATGAACGGAATGTGGCAGAAATGATGTAGTATGACTTCTGAGGGGAGAAATGTGTACCAGCTTTCTTCTTATTCTCTCTTTGGGATTACTTGCTGGACGAAATAGCTGTCATGTCAGAGTTATGTCATTCAGGCCACTTATGGACAAGCCCACATGATGATTAAGGCTGTCAGGCAACAGCCAGTGAGGAACTGAGGCCTCCTGACAACAGCCATGCCAGTGAGCCTCGAGGCAGATCCTCCAGCCCAAGTCAAGCCTTCAGATGACTGCATGTATCCCTGGTCAATATCTTTACTGTAACCTCAGGAGAAACCCTGAGCTAGTAAACACTCAGCTATGCTGCTCCTGAATTCCTGACCCACAGAAACTGTGACATAATTAATGTTTAAATGCATGTTGTTTGAAGCCACTAAATATTGGAATAATTTTTTATGCAACAATTGATAACTAATACAGCTGGATATAATCGAGTAAAAGATACAATGCCTGGCACATACTCGGGTGTTCGAATATTGTTTGAATGAATAAACAATTGAATGAAGTAGAGTATGTCTTTTTCATTTTAATGGGTATCATACACTAGTAGTATTATTTTTAATCTCTGACACCTGTATTATGTATGATTTTTAAAAATATGACTATACAGAGATAAATATTGAATTTCACTGAGCTCTGACCATTGACAGTCATGGAAGTAACATTTGGTCTCAATAGAGCAATAGAATCCTTGAAATTTGAATTCTGCTCCCAGTATTATCATTAATTAGCTGATTGACCTCTGGCAAATCACCTAACCCTTCTAAATCTCAACTTTCCTGTCCATTAATGAGGGACAATAATTCTAAACTGCCCCAAAAGGCGGTCAGTGAGGTTATATGTGACAGTGTAGTTGTAGAGAATTAACATTTGTTAATTAAATGAGATTGATGAGGTCTACTTTATTTT